ATACACACACACACACACACACACAGAGAGAGAGAGAGAGAGAGAGAATAAGAGAATACATTCTTTAAAAGTTTATTTTAATTTAGGTGCTATGTATTTATGTCTAGACTAGAGAAAAAGAGTTTACTGATACTGATATTGTTTGGAGAGGAAGAATTTGCCTTTTAGAAATGGATTCTGGTGGTCAGCAGGTGGCTTGGTGGTTAAGGTGCTAGACTCCCACATGGCTGACTATGGTTCAAGTCCTGAACCTGGTTGCTCAAAACTCATGCTGACTTCCTGGATGTGCATTCCAAGAGGAGAATAGAGAAGAAGGTATTGTGGCATGTCTGTTCTCCTGCGGGTTGATTTCTCATTCCTCTGGTGAGTGCATGCACCTTATGGCAAAAAAAAAACCTAAAAATAAAAAATAAATGAGGAATCAGCAGATGGAATAATGGTTATGTTGCAGGACTCCAATGTAGTTGATCATGGTTCGAGTCCTGGATCTGGAAGCTTAAAATACATGCAAGGTATATGTGCATGTGTGCCCAAAATCCTGAGAGGAGAATGGAGAAGGGATTGTGGCATGGCCGTTCATGCTGGGGAGTGATTTCTCACTTTCTATCTCTTTGTGTGTCTACTCAGTGAGAACATGAATATAACAAAAAGCAAAATCTCGATAACAAAAATCTCTCTCTAAACAAATAAATGGATTCTGAAGTCCTTTTTTTGTTTGTTTGTTTAAGTTTTTGCCATTGGGTGCAGGTACTGTGCACTTGCTGGAGAGGAACAGAGAGAAGGAAAAGGGAGAGAAAGTGAGAACTCACTCCCAAAGGAAGAATGGCCACACCACAATCTCTTCTCCAGTCTCCTCTTGGGGTTTTGAGCACACATGAACACACATGTGGGGTGATTTTCAACCTACCAGTAGGGGTCTTGAACCATGGTCAGCCATGTGGGAGTTTACCACCTTAACCACCACACCACCGTCTAGCCACTAAATTCTGTAGTTTAAAAAGAGGACAATTGAAGAATATAGAAAGTCCCATTTTGTATTTTTACTGTCATCAAGCATTATATTGTAATTTGTGTATTGGGTTGTTGGAAAAGTGATTATGAATCTTTCTATGTTTTTCCATGCAAAAATGTATGAAGATTTGCCAACTACACAGTAGTATGTGTTTTTACACCTACTAATGGAACACATTAGGTCATAGTCATTGTAATACATTTGCAAAGGACTCATAGTTTATTGTTAAACTATTGTTACCGAAAAATGGTTGTTAGAAACATACATATTCTCTTTTGTATCCAGATTTCCTTTGTAAATCATTTAGCTTAGAGTTCAGATCTACTGTTCTATTATATTACTTTTACACATGTCAGCATAGGAGGAAGAGCACATTAACATAATCAGAAAAAAAAGTCTTTTCTGTCAGATAGGAATTCCGGTAGGGAGGCTTCCTTAAAATAAGCCGTGGGATAGAATAACCTCCTAGTTTATCTGATTTATTCTGGTTGTTACACTTCTAGAGTAATTAATTGAAAGGGTGTAAGGTGAAAATATTAGGTATTTGTACTTGATACAGGACTCACTTCCTGCCTTACAACCACCTGTCAATGACTGGAGGTGGCCTCCTGTACATGGAAAGTACCCTGTGTGAGTGCTGTCCTGTCTGGTGGCTATTAGCCACACAGATATACTTAAACATAAAAGAAATCTAATTTAACATTTACTTTCACATTCCTACTGATCACATTCTGAGTGCTCAGTAGCTGTATATGACTGGTATCTACAAGACAGTGCAGTGTAGACCATTTCTGCTCCTCTGAAAGTTCCCCCTGGACCATGCTGCTCTAGAATGCAGTGTCTATGAGAATAAGAAATTGTTTCTGTTTGCTTATGTGTTGCAAAGTTCTCCCTGATATAGTGTTCATGAACACATCCTCAGAACTACTCTAACAACTCTAAAAATGTTGGATTGTCAAATGTTGAATGGTAAGTAAAAGTGTGTGTTTGCATGCCTAAAGTGTGAGGATTCGAACTTGAAATGTGCCAAAGAACAATCAAATGGCATTACTTAGCCACGTGCCCTTCCATACATGCAAGTAATCAAAAGTTGGTTGTAGCTATTTAATCGTTACCTTTAGGAGACCGCACAGTTTTCCTAGGGCTGCCCTAACAAAGCATCACAAAGTTGACAACTTAAAATGCTAACATGTACTCTCTTACAGTCCGGGGGGCCAGAAATCTAAAATCAAGGTGTTAGCGGAGCCAGGCTCCCTCCGACTCTTCCAGGGAATGTCCTTTCTTGCCTCTCCTAGAGGCTCCAGGCATGTCTTTGCTGTGGACATGGACAGGCCTGAGAGTGAGAGAAGAGCCCAGCCATGCCAGTGCTTCAGCAGAGCCTGGGATTCCAGGCACTCCCCACAAAGCTCCAGAAATGGAAGCGAGCCATCTGGGGGATTTCAGACAGTCAGGGCCCAGAGGAGCTGAAGTGCTATGACGAAGAGAAATGGTAGTTGCTTTTAGTCACGAGTTTTGGGGTGGTTTGTTATGCAGCAAACCCCAACGGCGCTGACGTCCCGTGAAGAATAATCTTGTTGAGAACTGGTGAGAAATCAGTGGGAATAAAAAACCTCTTTTCTAACATCGTCCTAGTATTTCAGCTCCAGCACGCTGACAGGTGACAATGTTAGGATGGGACAAGAGCCCTGGGCTGCCACAGAAACTCATGCTTGAATGCTTAAGTTGAGGCCCTATGATAGACAAGGATATGTAACTATTGTTTTATTCAACATTATCTTTCTATTTAACTCTTTCTTCTCACTCTATAGGACCAAATTAAAAAGTGAAAGGAGTGGGTGCTATTTACAAGAACATGTCTAAGTATCTATGAAAAATCAAAATTTAACAATTTTTAATTTCAGATCAATTTTAGAACCTAAAGAGATGGAAAAAGTTCAGTTCATATATCCTTGGTTATACACGGCTTTGATAAGATAAGGATTTTTAAATAACAATTCTGCCATCTAGAGCCACATTGTCTTCACGTTTATGAAAGCAGATTTTCCAGATTATGTGCCTCTGTATCTCAGATTTCATTATGTGTGTGGGAAGACTTTGATTCCTTCATATCCTGGCAGAGAACCCAGGAAATTGGAGTCATAGGCCAGTTTCTTTTCTTTTTTTGGAGAGATTTTCGCTATAGGGCGCGTGCGCTTGCCAGATAGGCAGAGAGAGACATTAGAGACAGAAAACAAGAAATCACCCCCCAGAGGGGATGGTCAGGCCACAATCCCTTCTCCTCCATTCTCCTCTCGGGATCTTGGGCACGCACGCACACGCGCCCCGCGTGAGTTTTAAGCCACCGGGTCCAGGACACCAACCGTGGTCGACTACGTGGGAGTCCAGCAACATAGCATTACACTAACTGCTGGTTCCCAATAGGCCAATTTCAAGCACGGTCATGGTGTAGTGAGGTGCACTATTAATGACATGTAGAAGATGTGAAGCGTTGTGTTTCAGCAATGCACAAATGAACCAGGCTTTCTCCTTGCCTTTTCTCTGTGCCATTTATTTTTACCAGAGTTTGCTAAAGCCACAAGATCATTGCTAAGAACATTAACATTTTTTCCCACTGATCTTTATTAATCTTTGTTGATTGCAGCTAGAACAATGATGGCTCTATTTTGTGCTATTTTATCCCACCAAGGTTAGTGTACAATGAACCTTAGCTTCTCCTCACTCAACCCTGTGCTACACACTCAAGTTCTACACACATTTAAATAATGTAAGAGATTCAACCATTCAGTCTAATGGGTGAATAAATTCATTCCAAATTTCTGAATTCTTTTGGAACAAAGAGTTTCACGGATAAGTCTCTCCAGTGGCTCCAGCCTGAGGTATTTATTTGTAATTTAATGTAATTTTTAAAAATATGTAAGATAGGGGGCCAGAGGTTTGTAGTGGTTAAGAGAATGGACTGTAATTTTAAAAATATGTAAGATATGGGGCCAGCAGGTGTGTAGTGGTTAAGACACTGGACACTCCCACATGGCTGACCACAGTCTGAGTCCTGGACCTGGTGGCTTGCTTTCTTCCTTTCTCTCTTTGTATGTCTCTCTCTGGTCAACTTAAAATAAATGAATGAATAAATAAAATTAAGTAAGTAATTCTTGTAAAAAATAATAATAAGATATTTTCTAGACATATGATAATGACAATAAAGAGACTTTTCAAAACAGAAAATCCACAAAGAAAGGGCAATAGCAACATAATTTAAGAAGTTGGACAGGGACCAGCAGTTGACGTAATGGCTATGTCACTGGACTTCCATGTAGTCAAATGCTGTTCACGTCCCGGACCTGGTGGCTTAAACTCACGCCTGGTACTCATGGGGTCTTAATTGGTAGATTGCTTGGAAATCTGAAAAAGGAGCAGATGCCTAATAATCAGCTTCATATTCCTAGATTACAAATGAAAAAAAAAAAAAGACACACAACAGAAAGTAGAGTTGTTACTTACTCAGTATCACAGTAGAGTCTGGGGGATTGACCACATTTCCCTACTGGTGGTCCTTTAACATGTCACAGTGATTTTTTCAAAAGGCAAATAGTCACATATGAAAGGAAATGAAAAGGAGATGTTCGTAATAGTTGATCTAAACAAGAAACAAAATCCTCGGTGGATAGAATGAAGCAGCAGCATCTGTTCTTTTGTGAAACATGAGTAATACCAGTCCAGATGTGTGAGCAGTGGCATGTTCGCATGCTCCATTCACACATGAGAAAACTCAATGGAAGAACTAGATTTGGGGATGTAACAAGAGTTCAATGTTATTTTGCTTACCTAGATTCACTGTGATAACCCTGAGTAACTATCTATTAAGAATCTTGTCAAAAGAGGCGGCAAGGATCTGACTCAATGCTATGGTTAGTGTATTGGTAGGAGTTGGGGATGCAGTGAGTAGGAACAGCCCAGCTGAACAGAGAGCTACAATTATTAGAATATTTATTCATGTACGTCTGCATAGTCCCTCAATTACTGAAACCCTGTAATTCACTGAATTTGCCCTTTCCTCTGCACATATGGCTCTTTGTTGACGCTGGGAGCAGAGCAGCACCAGCCACGGCTTCGGGTATGGGCTGCAGGTGCCTGAGAAGCACTGTGTCAAGGCACAGAGGTAAGAGGCTGAGTCTTCAGGCTGGGATTCCTTGATGTACAAGAAGCTGTAACCCTCCTTCGTATTTAGAGTGACTTTCACTCGTCCTTCCTGCTTTTCATCCCCATTTGCAGATATTACAAACAGAATCTTGGGACTTTTTGCAGGTTCCTGTCTGTACCAGTGTAAGCTGTAGAAAGAACTGGAAGGGAAGCTGCAGGTGAAGTTGGTGCTCTCTCCCTCCTGAACATGAAGTGACCGAGGACTCTGTGCCACATTCGGTACGCTGCTCACTCCTGTTTAGAAAGACACAGTCACATATGGAAATTGGTCTCTCTATAGAGTTTTCAGTTCCTTCTTAGACCCCCAAATAAACCCTAGGAGTGCCCTACTGTATATTCCTCCTTTCTCGTCCGGACCAGACTGTGAATGTCTTCAGCAACCCCTGAACTTACGGCCAAAATGAATCCACAGGATTAGCAATGAGGCTGCCAAATGATTCTCCATTTATCCAGCTGAAGTATCCTTGACACAGAAGTCTTTTGCAGCCTAGATCTGTGGAATATTCTACTTCAGAATAAAAGATTCTGCATCTGGTTGCCCAGCCAATCAGAGATGAGCTCCTGTAAATGTCCTAGAAACACACCAACCAGTTCTACCCTAGATTCAGTTTCCGCATGGTTCACAAACAGAAACCAGAGACTATTTTTGTCTTTTTTTTAACCTTGCCAAAGGGTGGGTGCACTCACCAGAAAGGTACAGAGGGGCAGAGGGAGAGGGAGAAAGCACCCCTTCCCAACAGGTAGGTGCTGCAATCTCTTCTCCTCCATTTCTTCAGCCTGTTATGATTTGAGGCCTGTGTGCAGTTAGATGAGTGTTTTTTTTTTTTTGGAGAGGTTTTTGCTATAGGGCGCATGCGTTCACCAGACAGACAGAGACAGAGAGACAGAAAGCGAGAAATCACCCCCCAGAGGGGATGGTCAGGCCACAATCCCTTCTGCTCCATTCTCCTCTCGGGATCTTGGGCACGCACGCACACGCGCCCGGCGTGAGTTTTAAGCCACGGGATCTGGGACGCCAACCATGGTCGACTATGTGGGAGTCCAGTGACATAGCCATTACGCTAACCGCTGGTTCCCTTGATGGGGGT